AAATTCATCCACTTACGAGCAGCTGATATTTGACAAAGGCCCAAAGTTCGTTAATTGGGGAAAAGACAGTCTCTTTAACAAATGGTGCTGGCATAAGTGGATATCCATCTGCAAAAACTGAAACAAGACCCATACCTCACACCATGCACAAAAACTAACTCAAAATGGATCAAAGACCTAAATATAAACTCTAAAATAATAAAGATCATGGAAGAAAAAATATGGACAATGCTAGGAGCCCTAATACACGGCATAAACAGAATACAAACCATAAGTAACAATGCACAAACACCAGAGGAGAAACTAGATAACTGGGAGCTCCTAAAAATCAAACACTTATGCTCGTTAGAAGGCTTCACCAAAAGAGTCAAAAGACAACCTACAGACTAGGAAAAACCTTTTGGCTACGACAAATCCACTCGGTGTTTAATCTCTAAAATCTACAAGATATTGCAAAACCTCAATAACAAAAAGACAACCCAATTAAAAAATGGGCAAAGGAGGTAAACAGGCACTTCACCAAAAAAGACATCCAGGCAGCTAACAGACTCATGAGGAACTGCTCACGATCATTAGCCGTTAGAGAAATGCAAATTAAAACTACAATGGTATACCATCTCACCCCAACAAGGCTAGCATTAATCCAAAACACACAAAACAATAAATGTTGGAGAGGTTGTGGAGAAACTGGAACACTTATACACTGCTGGTGGGAATGTAAAATGGTACAACCACTATGGAAATCGATTTGGTGCTTCCTTAAAAAGCTAGAAATTGCAATCCCACTCCTTGCAATATATCCTAGAGAAATAAGAGCTGCCACACAAATAGATATATGCACACCCATGTTCATTACAGCACTATTCACAATAGCAACAAGATGGAAACAACCTAGGTGCCCATCAACGGACGAATGGGTAAACAAATTATGGTATATCCACACAATGGAATACTGTGCAACGATAAAGAACAACGATGAATCCGTGAAACGTAACATGGAGGAATCTGGAAGGCATTATGCTGAGTGAATTTAGTCAGTTGCAAAAGGACAAATATTGTATAAGACCACAGTTACAAGAACTCAAGAAAAGGTTTAAACACAGAAGAAAACATTCTTTGATGGTTACAAGGGTGGGGAGGGAGGGAAAGTGTATTCACTAACCAGATAGTAGACAAGAATTATTTTAGGTGAAGGGAAGGACAACACACACTACATGGGAAGTCAGCACAACTGGAATAAACTAAAAGTTAAGAATTTTCCTGAATACAACCAAACACTTCAAGGGACAGAGTAGCAGGGGCAGGGGTCTGGGAACCATGGTTTCAGAGGATATCTAGGTCAATTGGCATAATAATGTTTATTAAGAAAGTGTTCTGCATCCCACTTTGGTGAGTGGCGTCTGGGATCTTAAAAGCTAGAGAGCAGCCAACTAAGATGCATCAATTGGTCCCAACCCACCTGGAGCAAAGGAGAATGAAGACTATTAAAGACACAAGGAAAATATCAGGACAAGAGACAGAAAGGGCTGCATAAACCAGAGACTTCATCAGCCTGAGACCAGAAGAACTAGATGGTACCTGGCTACCACCAATGACCACCCTGATAGGGAACACAACAGACAGTCCCCGACGGAGCAGGAGAAAAGTGGGATGCAGAACTCAAATTCTGGTAAAAAGAGCAGACTTAATGGTTTGACTGAGACTGAAGGGACCCTGGAAGACATGGCCCCTGGACTCTCTGTTAGCCCAAACCTAAAACCATTCCCAAGGCCAACTCTTCAGACAAAGATTAGACCGACTATGAGACTATGGCTTACATACTTTTGACATGTAGTCAGGAGGGATCAGTCCCTGGAGAAGGACATCACGCTTGGTAAAGTAGAGGGTCAGCAAAAAAGTGGAAAATTCTCAACGAGATGGATTGACACAGTGCCTGCAACAATGGGCTGAAGCATAACAACGATTGTGAGGATGGCGCAGGACCGGGCAGTGTTTCATTCTGTTGTACATAGGGTCACTATGAGTCGGCACTGACTCAACGGCACCTAACAACAACAACAGCATGGGGCATAAAATGATGCTCTTGAGGAGTGTGCTTTTTAGCTCAAGCGGATACATGAGACTAAATGGGCAGCTCCTGGCCGGAGGTGAGATGAGAAGGCAGAGGAGGGTCAGGAGCTGGTGAATGGACACAGGAAATCAGGGGTGGAAAGGAGGTGTGCTGTCACAGTATAGGGAGAGCAACTAGGGTCACATAACAATGTGTGTATAGATTCTTGTATGAGAACTAACTTGAATTGTAAATTTTCACTTACAGCACAATAAAAAAATAAATAAATAGTAAGCTGCCTCAGTTCCTTCTAAACCAAAAAACCCCAAACCCGTTGCAACCCCGTAGGACAGAGTAGAACTGCCCCATAAGATATCCAAGGCTGTAAATTTTTATGGAAGCCAACTGCCACTTCTTTCTCACACCGAGTGGCTGGGGGGTTTAAACTGCTGACCTTTTTGGTTGGCAGCTGAGCGTTTAGCCGCTGCACCACCAGACCTCCCTTAGTTCATTCTAGGTGGTGTGTAATTTGAAATATTCTGTTTACACAAAATCCATAGATTAACCATGCCCAAAGATTAAGCATGCCCAAAGGTACATATAAACTTCCAATGGCACAAATCAAAGGATTCCGCAACTATTCAGTGTTTATCTACAAGGTACCACGCTCGATGCTACAGTGGTGAGTGAGAGGTAGTCCATGCCCCTCATAAACCACAGTCTGGTGAGAAAAAAAGTAGAACTGGGGAGGGTGAATCTGGGGACAGGGAGAAAGAGGGAAAGCTGTGGTGGGGTCCCTCCACCCCTCTGTCCACCACAAGCTCAGCACTTACTCCTCTAACAGTCCACCCCAGAGCCTCCCGCAAAGAAAAAGAAGTTTCTCCCCAGTCGGGCAGAGTGGAAAGAGCATACAGTTTGGAGTCAAAATAAATATGGGTTAAAACAGTCGTTCTACTACTTACTAGCTACGTGAACATATCCCTTAACGTCTCTGAGCCTCAGTTTCTTTATCTGTCAGTTGGGAATAATATTGCCTCTCTCAAGGTTCAGCTGTGAGAACTGAGCACCAGGACAGTGCCTAGAACAGAGCAGGTGCTCAATGCATGCTTCCTCTTCCCAAATAGAGGTTGCTGCAGCCTTCTCAATGGAGCCGAGAGCTGTGACAGTCAAGGGCTGGGCACCCAGGACATCTGCCCAAGTTTCCAACCCAGCCTCCACCGCAGTGGAAGTTTTGAGTAAGGTGACATCCTCTCCAAGCACCACTTTGCTCCTTGCAAACTCAACTGAATGACCCAACTCAATTATTGTCAGAATTCTCCTCTCAGGGGAGACACCCTTCTGCCCAAGGAGAAAGCTCCTTGTGGTCCCTCTAGGAGAAGTGCATGGGTAGAGTGCCCTTGGAAAGGGTCTCCAGGGTACTGTGCTCATGAGTGCCTACCCCTTCCACCCCTTGCATAGAGGATGGGGAGTAGGTTTTTCCAACCCCCACCATGCCCAGAACTGAACAGGAAGTGGCAACTTGGTTGCCATGGCAGCAAGTGTGGCAGGACCGGGTGAGGCCCCCTTTAGGAGCATCAGTAGCTGTGGGGTGGGAGCTGCCTTCATCGACTGGTTCCCCTCAGGACAGGGGGCAGGGACAGGATATGGCATCAGCATTCCGAGACAAAGGGAGTTTAAAGTGCCCCCGGATGATGCAATGACTGTTGTCAGAACCAAACAGAGCTTTCCTGACAGAGGCTAAGCGAATAAGCCTTTTTTGCGTGAGGAAATTGAGTGTCCCTGGTTTGAGGCCCTGAGGAAACCTAGCCGATAAAGGGATCAATGCAGAGAGGATCCAGAGTGTTGTCTAAGCTCATGAGGTGTGGGTTAGCTTTGCTGGGAGCCAGATATTAGGATGTACCCTTCTCACTGGGCTCTGGTGAAGAGCTACTAGATCGGCCCCAATCTCCTCCTCCTCCCCTGACCCCACAAAACATTAAACAAGATAAACGGACAAGGAAAAGCAGGGATAGAGGGTATAGGAAGAAGCCCTGAGCCCCCACTCACTTAGTCATCCCCTTCCCCCACAAGGCAGCCCACCGTCCCCCTTCTCCTCTCACCTGAGATGCCACCCTGTAGCCACAGCAGCAGCAGCAGGAATGTAGGGGCCATGGCTCCATCCAGTTGGGGACAGTCACAGGGGCCAGCACACCCCAGGAATCCAAGGTTAGGGCTCCAGGCTGACGCAGGACCTTGCCACCTGGGTCTGGCATGGGACACCCTGGGGCTCTGAAAGTGAAATTGCCCATTTAAGGAAGTGAGGAAACTGTGGGACCCACCACAACCAGCAGACCGCAGGGGCCCACAGAGCCTGTCACAAGGGCGGCCCCACGGCTGTTTCCGCCCTCTTCCTCAGAACTTTAGGCAGGTGTGGCTGCTCCACCCAGTCTGGGGCCCCACAGCCACGGAGGGCTCACAGGGTCAGCCCTCCCAGAAACTGGTCCAATAGGGGTGCCTCCTAGTCTGAGGCAGGGGATCCATCTAGAAGGCTGGTATGAGGTTTCTGGAACCTCAGGTTCAGAGTTATTTGGAATCCTCTGGGCTCAGAGATCCAGGGTAAGAGGCTCTGGGGCTGGGGAGGGGGATCACGGAGCATACATTTTTCACATATACACATTTACGATGAGGTTCTTGTAAACTCACCCTCACTCATTCATCCATTCCTTCACTCACTCTGGCACCCTGTCTCTCTCTCCCAGACTCCTGGCTGGTCACAACAGTCGCTCATGCTCACTTGTGCAAATAACCTCTTACATGTTCACATGCAGGATTATTTTTGTCATAGTACAGTGATGGGGGAAAAAAGGTGCAAATTGTAAGACTCAAAACATAAAGTTTGGGTTCAGGGAGGGGGTCCTGTGCAAACACATGTGGACTGTCTCTATCTTTCTGTTTCAAACACACACAAACACATACACACACTCTCCGAGCTGCCTCTAGCTATTCCCTATTAGCATATTTCCATATCTTTATCCCTCTGTCTCTCCTTCTGTTGTCTCTACTCACCCATCAGCTCTCTAGACTCCTACTCCCTCTTGCAGGCTTCCTAAAGCCACACCAATGCTTCCCCTCACCCACCTCTTCTCAAGAAACCACACCCCCCAGAGCCCCTTCTTCCCCTTGCTTTGGCCCCAGCCAGTACACAGGCATGCCCACTCAACTTCCTCCTGCTTAACACTATCTCGCCTCTACAGCCACCCGGCTCCAGTTGAAATGACCCAGCATTTGGCCCAAGACCCCACCCTTCACTGCCTGGGGCTAAGGATCAGAAGGATGAACTTCTAACATCAGTAACTGTGTTAACTGCACCCTTAGGGTATGGGAACCCAGATGGACCCTTATAACTATGTGGGCTCTCCCTACTCACCTGTGCCACCTCTCTTCTCCTTAGATGAGACTCAAAGTAAAAAGTCCTTACTCATGAATGGCCACCATCCTAGACTGAGCTTGAAACCCTAAATCCTAAACCAAAGAGATTTTATCTTTGTTGACCCCAAACTTTTATAGTCTCTTAACTCATTCATTTGTTCATTTGTACAGTTGTTCATGCTTACGACTACATGTGTTATCCATAGTGCTAAGCACTGGGGGTACAAGAATGAGACACAGTTGTCATCTTCAGACCTCTCAGCTCAGTCACAGAAGACATACCGTGCTTTCCTTATTTATACTTCCTTTTTCAGTACTTGTGTTTCAGTTCTCAGGCTCCTTTGTTGAGAAGCTGTCTTCTCTCTCCAACGTCCCATGGTATCTTCCTTCACCCCTTCCCTCCATCAAAACAGTGAGTGGCTTCAAGAGTGGTGGATCTCATTTCTGTCTTGTGGGAACTTCATGTGCCTGGGATCAAAGCTTCTGTTAAGACCCTACTGTATGCCCAGCACTAAGTGGGGGCATTGTGAAGGGTGTGATCATTGTAATAGCTATGTTGACAAGAGTGTAAAGATCTAAATATTCTCATTCCCTGATAAAGGAAGTGTAAACTGGATTCAGTCTCCCTTGAGCACAATTTGTAAGTATTTATCAAGATCTCCAAAAATGTGTACACATTCTACTTTTATGTACCGCTTTATGCTGTTTCTTTATATTTATTTTTCCTCACTAAAGAATTAAGATCTATAGACAAAACTTTGTTGTTGTTGAGTCGATTCCAACTCATAGCGACCTCATGTGTGCAGAGTAGAACTGCTCTATAAGGTTTTCAAGGCTGCGTGATCTTTTGGAAATAGACCACCAGGCCTATCTTCCAAGGTGCCCCTGGGTAGGTTTAAACTGACAAGCTTCTGGTTAGTCAAGGGCTTAACTGTTTGTGCCACCCAGGGATTCCAGACAAAGCTAAAGAGACAGTAGGAAGATCAGCGGTTGCCAAGGGTTGGAGTGGGGGGTGGGAGATGGAAAGAGGTGTCATGGATTGAATTATGTCCCCCCAAAAATGTGTGTATCAGTTTGGCTGCGCCATGATTCCCGATATTGGGTGATTTTCCTATATGTTGTAAATCCTGCCTCTCTGATGTTAATAAGGGAGGATGGGCAGCAGTTGTGTTAGTGAGGCAGGACTCAGTCTACAAGATTGGATTGTGTCTTGAGGCAATCTCTCGAGATATAAAAGACAGAAGTAAGCAGAGAAACGGGTGACCTCATAGGACCAAAAAAGCAGTGCCGGGAGCAGAGCATGTCCTTCGGACCCGAGGTTCTTGCGCAGAGAAGCTCGTAGTCCGGGGGAAGATTGATGAGGAGGAGGACCTTCCTCCAGAGCCAACAGAGAGAGAAAGTCTCTCCCTGGAGCTGTCGCCCTGAATTTGGACTTGTAGCCTACTAGACAAATGAGAAAAGAAATTTCTCTTTGTTAAAGCCATCCACTTGTGGTACTTCTGTTATAGCAGCACTAGATGACAAAGACAGGAGGGAAGGATGAATAGGTGGAGGACAGGGGATTTTAGGGCAGTGAAACTATTCTGTATGGGACTGAAATGATGGCTATACGACATGCATCTGTCGAAACCCATAGAACTGTACAGCACAAGGAGTGAACCCTAATGTATCAATATTGGTTCATCAATCTTAACAAACGTACCACACCTATGCAAAATGCTAATAACAGGGTAAACTATGGGGGGTAGTATTTTAGTACAAAACTCTTTGTACTTTCTGCGCAATTTTTCTGTAAACCTAGAACTGCTCTAAAAAATAAATTAATTTAAAAAATTAAGTTCTAATTTACAGAGAGTAAAGTGCACCCTTTTCAAGGGACAGTTCTGGAAGATTGACAAACCCATAGAGACCTGTAACCAGCACCTCAGTAAAGACATAGAACAGCTCCATCTCCCTCTGAAAAGTTTCCCCGTTCTCCTTTGTAGTCATCCTCTTGTCCTACCCTCAGTTCCCTTTTGTTTCATGGGTGTGATAGCCTCTTCTTTATGGGTGTTTTCTAAAATATTTATCTTGTGTCCAAGGTCAATTTTCAGTTTGCTTAAATTTGTTTTATTTGCCCTTTCCAGAATGTTATAAAAATATTAAAAAATATATTAAATTATATAGTATGGGGTATTTTGAGTTGACGTCTTTCACTTAGTATAATGCATTTGAGATGTTTTGTGTTTGGGTGTATTAGTACTTCGTTCCTTTTTAAGGCTAAGTAGGATTTCATTGTATGGATGTACCAAAATTTATTTATCCATATGCTAGTTGAGGGACATTTAGATTGGCTGTCATGTTTTTATTAATTCTTTAGATGTGTTGGTGAGTGAACAATCTCCCTCCCCAACCCCCCCCCCCAAAAAAAAATATCCAGGACCTAATTCCTGGAACCTGTTAATATTACCTTATACATATATAAAAAATAGGTCTTTGCAGATGTGATTAAGTTAAGGATCTTGAGATGGGGAGATTACCCTGGATTCTTTGGTTTAACCCCAAATGTAATCACAATTACCCTTAAAAGAAGGAAGTAGAGGGATGTTTGATTGCAGAGGAGAAGGAAATGTGAAGATAGAGCCAAGAGATTTGAAGATGCTACCCTGCAGGTCTTAAATATGAGAGGGAGGAGCCATGAGCAAGGGATGCAACTCTAGAAGCTGGAAAAGGCAAGGAAATGTTATAGGTTATATAGGTTTTTTTTCATTCATTCCACTTGTAGCTCACTGTTAAACGTTCTTTAAATGAATCTAAATATTTCCATAGAGTACATGTGAACTTGTCCAAATCCATTGCAGTAGCATAAGTCCAATAAATCAAGAAAGGACTGGGTTTGTCTTAGCATAAACACCAGACCAATGCTCTGATTAATACAAAAATATTATTGAAGGAATAATTTCATTTCTCGAAACAGAGAGACACATGGTATTCAACAGAATGCAAAGCATGTTCTGCTATGCAGGGAAAACAGCAGGGTATTTAACAGGCAGAGTAAACACAGGCAAAGGTTTCACATCAAAGCAAATGCAGGGGGAGGAAGAGAAATTTACAAGGGGTGGTTAAACTACAAACTTTCTTAACATCAATTTCTATCCTAACACAAACCTCTTATACCTGATACAATGTGACAAAGGCAATATTTCTAAAATGAAATATATAAACATTCTTGATGTGGAGGTTTAGTGATTGATTACAGGCTAAGTCAACTTAATTGGAGTCCTTGAATATAAAATCGACCATTAGTTAGGAAAGAGTAAAGATGAAATCTGCTCTAAATTTGAAGTATTTTGAAATGTAAACATCACCCATCCAGCAAAGGAGAAGGGAGATAGGGCCCAGGCATTCACTGCAGAAATTCCCTGAAAGCAGTTAGGATAGCAAGTTTATTTACACAAGTTAAAGCTTGAATATTTGCACTCTTTGTGTTACAAGTAGTCGAGACTTTTACAGCTGTGTCTGCCTCCTTATTTTAACAAACTCAGTCTCTATCTAGTTTCAAATTTACAAAGAGTTAGCAGAAATACAGTGGAAAATTCCAATGAGTGAAAATTAATTTGGGGGGTCAGTACAGGGATAAGGCTTGCTATATACTTATCTTGGCTATGAAGTTATTTACAGATTCTAATTGGCGACTTGGTGAGCCGTGGTTAAGAGCTACAGCTGCTAACCAAAAGGTCGATAGTTCGAATTCACCAGCTGCTCCTTGGAAACCCTATGGGGCAGTTCTACTCTGTCCTATAAGGCCACTATGAGTTGGAATCAACTTGACAGCAACGGGTTTTGGTTTAACTT